ATAATGACAATTCTTCGAGGATCACAAATCAACACAGCAATGAATGTATCATTCTTTGTGTCGTGCTAGAATGGATGGGGGAAGAGCGCTTCAGGATACCTCTCGAATTCTTTGGCACTGACCACTTCGACTGTGGGCACGCAAAGGGTTATACAAGATATCTCGACAGCATGGTCCAATCGCAGCTGATATTCCTGCTGTATTCCCGCTGGGTTTGGTAGTCCTCTCTTCCATCTGTGAATAACACTATTGCTCTAAGCCAATGGCTAAATACTCTTCCACTGTTGCAGGAGTTTGAAGGCATTCCGCCGACTACGAGATCAGCTCTCACTCGATATGCACGCTTTACAAAGTCTGATGGTCAAATGTGCGTCAACTGAGTGACTATATCCAATGCATAATCACAAGATCATGCATTGGACAACCTAATATGGGATCTAGCTTCTTTGGAGCTATGCGGGGCTCGACTCTGCGGGTTTCGTTTACATATATCTTACAATAGAGGTCGAGCCACTGTTAGCGATCCGAACCGTGCACGACCGTTGTGCTCAGGGAGACAGATCAATGTGTATGGCTGTCAACATTCCTGGACTCGTGCATCAACCACACAAAGCTCATAGGGCGGCCGCTACAGTACTTTACATAGGTGGTTCCCGGCGTTATGGAGCCCTAGTATAGCCTTTCCACAGCGAGATACAAGGGCAGCCGAAAACTGTCTAGAGTCTCAGACTAGATGCCATGGAGCGCTGTACAGGGACTCCTAAGAGATACTCACATACACTCAAGCCAATCATTGATAGTTTTGTCGACTACCTGGTCTCTACACAGCGAGCAGTAGTCGCCTGGTGATAGTCTAAGCTTCTTAGTCTTTTCGACTACGATTGAGCAGTAATTTGGTACCGATTCCTACCAAAATCTATTTTCAGGCAGCATAAGCTATGTCTAGAGGTCAAATAGGCAGAGGGCTACAGTCTCTTGGTTGTACCAGGCTTGCACAACCTCCATTTCCTATTTCTGCGGCGTTGGTAGACTAAGTAGAGATGCCACGCATCGAACACTGGACCACACATACACTCAATCCCTACAAAGTTTGGTTGTGGATAGAATGCAGCATGCAGGAGCATTCGGCGCAGCCACATGGGAATTTAGTTCCCTTTTGGTGACTTCATAAAAGGGTCTTCTCTTCTCTTATGCTTCCATTCTATCAAATCATTTTCTACATGAGAAAAAAGGTATGTTTCAAGACCATTTGCTATTTTGTCAAGTCTGACCAGGCTAGCATATCACCATGAACAATCACAACATATTCCAGATCGCTGCTCCTCCAGCTGCACCCCCAACCACCCCTCCAAACCCTGTCAAAAGGGGCCGAGGGCGACCAAAAGGTCGCAAAAATAACATCAAATATGATGAGAATGGGGTCTTGGTGCCAAAGAAGTTGAGAAGGGCTCCAGATGAGCCCTACATCAAGCCTGAGGATGCCGGGAAGAGGAAACGCCCAGCATCACTGTCCTCTGATGCTGGCCCTCCAGCGAAAAAGGAGAAGATTTCTGTGCCTAAGGCGCAGTCCTACGCAGCAGGGCCTTCGGGCCAAAATGCATTTACTTATTGGGGTATGTTATTCTCTATTTACTTACAGTGAGCTTCCAACTAATTTCATAATAGCGGCGCCGCCTGTGAACAACCCCGTCCCCCCCAGCTTATACAACGCTGGCACGAATACAAGTGCTGTGGGCTTGGACCCCTCCTGGGGCCCTTACGATACACCCCTCGTGGACGACGCGTGGGCTGCAGCACCACTGGCAAACGCACAGCAGGCGGAGGTTGTTCCAAACGAACAGCCATGGACTTTCCCGGTCGAAGACGCTGGGGTTTTAGATTGGCTAAACCAGTTTGTCAATTTTGACTGGATCAACGAGTAATTGGCTTAGTTTTCATGTTTGCACGGAGAGCCTTGTACTATAAGATTAGCTGTAAATATTTCTTTTTAAAGCCGTCAAATTCCCAAAAATGCTGTGTCATGAATCAAATTTTGAGAAGTTAATGAATGATTTTAGCGAGTACCAGAAATTAAAGTGGTCAACGCAGATCGAGTAACAGCCACAAGCTTCCACCCTGAGTATCTTGTAGCATAATAGTCCGTGCAGCTGTCCTTGTTATAATCATTTTCGCCCTCATTATCTCAGTAAACAGCCCATCCATACTCAATAAAGAGTTGTTTGACATTTCCTTGTCGTTATCCATCACGATCGAAGTCATTGTTGCTTGCACTGCAGAGTTTGTGCTCGAGGCCTCCGCTACAGCGGCGACGACTTCGTTATCCCAGGCCATGTTTACGGTGGGGGCAGTATTAATTGCTCTTGGAATTATTGAGTCAACTGAAGAAGTAGTAATTGTGGAGAAACCCACAAGAGCGATGAATATATCAAGGAAGAAGAACACAGATATTGAGCTGGTGGTATACATCGTAAACGGATGGGCTTATTCACGGACGCTAATACCTTCGTGATATATCCCAAAAATGAAGCCGACCTCAGGAGTACCAGCTGATCAGAGAAGATAACGAGTGGTTGAAAAGCAGTGTATGAAGAGAGTCTGACTCAGAATACATGAGTGCGCGTGCGTAGACGAGAGAGGAGAGAGTTGCAGGAGGCGGGTCGTGATCGGTTTCTACTTCCATACTCCTTTTCTGTGCTGCTTATGGGCGAAATATCAATACAGAATACGGAAGTGTCATTACCTCATCTTCGCCAGGCTGTGCCGTACCGGCGCGACCTGCAGCGCTGATGCTGCCGACGTTCTTCCACATGTTGGTGGTGCTCACAGCGAGTCACATGTCGCTTCGAGAATCCTACCGGTGCCGGTAACGTGATCCACCACCGAGCGCCCACCCCCACCGAGCGCCCACCAACACCAAAATCCACCACCCACTAAATAAGGATATTGCGCCACCTATAATAGCTATTATTACAAGATTTCTTAGAGTTGTAATTATTAGATCTATTAGAGTAGATTAAATATTTTAGATTATATAAGTAGCTTTTTAGGGGGTCTAATTAGGTGCCTATGCTATAAAGTTACCTCTACTACTATATCCTCTTCTACTAGCTCCTTATTAACTACCTTAGCTAGTATAATAGTAGGAGGCTTAAGGATTTACTTCTTACCTATTTAGGATATTTTAATATTATTTTAAAGTTACTTTTCTAGTTATTTAGTAGTTTTCTACTTATTATATATAGTAGCTTTTTAGGTAGCTTTCTTCTTTTATTCTTTTTTAGTAATTACTTAATTTAGGTAATACTTTTTTATAAGTTAAGCTTTAGTAAGCTTCTATTACTTATAAAGCTTAATTACCTTACTTTTTTAGTATTATAGCTCCTATTCTTTAAGGTTCTTTTACTTCTAAAGCTTAAATACTTACTCTACCTTTAATAGTAAAATAAATTAGGTACTACTACTATAATTATTATTAGGGGGTAATAATAGAGGTTTACTATACTTCTTATACTTCTTCTTATTAGCTAGGGTAGCCCTTAGGTGTTTATTTTTATAGTTAAGTAGAGTATTTCTTACTAATATAGTATAGATTATCTAGCTAAGCTTCTTTAACTATTTATTATAGATATTAATTATAGTATTATAAAGTAACTACTCTATCTTTCTTTAATTACTTATACTTAATATTAAGGTTATACTATTACTTAAAGAAGGCTAGTTACTATTATTTATAGGTACTTTAAACCTTAAAAGAATAATATTAGGATTAAGTAGTAAGATACCTATTACTTTAAAAGCTATTAATATTAGCTTTTTCTTAAAGGTATTACTTTATATAGTATTAAATAACTAGTAGAAATCCCTCTTAGTAATACTTATAAGCCCTTAGGAGCTATCTAGAAAACTAGATAGTTAAGCTTTATATAAAGCTATAAAGGGAGTAAACTTAGCTATAACTATTAAGTAGGCCGTAAAGGGCTATAAGTGCTATAAAAGGGATATATTATAAGTAGGATCTTATATTTATTATAGTACTTAATAAACTCTATTATTATATAAGATCTATAGCTATTAAGGATAAGAAGCTAGTATAAAGTATAAGCTTTAGCTTTTATCTTATAATTAAACACCTCCTTAAGCTAGAATACCCCTAGGGTATAGCTTATCTACCTACTTAGTAATCTTATAAAGAAAGCTTAGTATTATAATAAGTTAAAATCTTATAACTAGGTATCTTATAAAGCTCTAGATTAGGACTAATAAATAAAGGTAGAGGTAAGAGTAGTACTATTAGCGTATATATAAGCTATAGTAGTAATCTACTCCTTATTATTATTCTAGAGTATAGCTTTAATCTTTCTTTACTTATAGGTACTTTTATTAAATATATATTTAGTTTTTAATAGTATTCTAATAAGAAAACCCTTCTTATCTATATTATAGATATACTAACTCTTAATATTATATTACTTTATTTTTTAGTATAAAAGCTTAAAGTATAAGCTATACTTAAAGGTAGAATTAGCTTTAAAGTAGTTATAATTAAGCCTAGTAGCCTAATAGAAGATAAGATTAATATTATAGTAGTTAATAAAGCGCTATACCTAATTTTTACTTACTAGATTCCTTATTATTTTAGTTATAAAATTTTAAATAATAGTCTATATAAAAGGTAATCCTTATCTATAAAGCTCTTTAATATACTTTATAAGCTTACTTTCTTATATAGTATTAAGTATTTAACTATTTAGTAAAGTAGTAGTATATACCTACTAAATTTTCTAGTAGTATCTAGATAAGGTTAACTATAAGTAACTATACTTTTCTACTATTTCTAAGTATATAAAATCTTTTCTAAGAGTTAAGGATTTAATTACTATAAGCGTGTTATTAATAGGTGCTATAGTTATTAAGAAATTTAGTGTTAAAAATTTAGTAATTTTAGTGTTAGTGGGCGCTCAGTGGGGGTGGGCGCTTGGTGGTGGATCACGTTACTTAGCGCGATCGGCGAGTGCCCGTGCTGAAGTTTACCTGAACATCAATTTTCACCAACGCTCTCTTTTCCCATCACTCACCTCCGCTGCATCATTAATATCATCAATCCAGAGAAGGAGAGCTTGTTTTAGACCGGTGGTCGTACTTGTATTGCTATCAAGCATGTGAACAAACTTACTGCACGCCCACGCTGTATGTAACGTCAGCAAGCTTACACAGCAGCCTGACGCGTTTCTCATATTCCCTTCAACCGTTTCCATCGGATGATTGACACTATCGTGTCTTATCATGATTCTCCGCGAGATGCTCCAAGAGCTCTTCAGACGCCCATGTATTCTCTTGCCGTATCTTTGCGATGAGCTCCATATGCTTTGGGCTCTCGTTCCATGCCCCAACCTGGGCGCTTTGCCAGAAGGAACTCCGTTGTTCTGAAGCCCATCGAAGATTTTCTGCCCATCCGCTGATATCCCTCCCATCTGGCTGATTCATCTGATGTAGCGACCGGTAAGGTGGCGCGCTTCGAGGACCGCCGAACGCGTAAGGACTGAACGCGTCGGGCTCGTCCACCATTCCCTCGGCCCGAAAGGCGAGCTCAATGGCACAAGGTAGCGGCTCAATCTCTTTTTTGGGTGGCAGAATATGCCTTGCAGTTGGTCTAAGATATGCCTTGTTTTTCATTGTTCCTTTGTCCATGTCTGTGTCTCCGTCCACGTCTCGTCCTTTCTCAAAGCGCTTCTTTGATTTTCCTCTTAGTTTTGCACTGTTGCTTAATCGTCGTTTCGAGGTTTGGATAGCCTGTCTGGATGGACTAGCAGGTGCTCGTGGTAATTTCTCTTTATGTGCCTCTAAGAATGGCGATTCGTCTCTCACGACCGCGGATCGCATTATCTTTCTCGTTTGTCCCCCTTGCAAAGCAAGTGTTGGGTTGGCTGCTGGAAGTTCAACGTCAGCCCAGCGCTTGAAGACTTCCCGGTCATAATGCTGTGGTGTCACTGCCGTTGGCCCACCGAGATGGTCGAGGAGAGCACTATAGTCGCGTGGATACATCCAGGCCTTTTCTGACTTTTGAACGCAGTGCTGTACCATGCGCGTGAGGTCAAGAGCATCGTGGCCCTGTGGCATCTGCCTCACGTCCATCGCGAGGTTTCGAAATGGTACATCTGGCGCTAGCGTTCGACTTCCGTTGATCTCGCCCGGCTGTCGACAGCCTGCCACGTTGAGATTCTCTTCACGCCAAGTCGCCTTCTTCGAATTATGCCAAAAATCATGGTTCCCAACTGTCCAGCCCACGTATCCGGCATCATTCATCGCCTTATACATTGTGGTGCCGCAGTTATTGAGGCTCCATTGTAAGAGCAGGAGGCGCTGCGTATTGATGATGGCTGAGAACACGCGTCGCGTTCCGCCATTGGATACGAGGCGGTATAAAATGTCGGCATTCCCTATGCTATGCGGCAAGAAAGTCAAGATTTCTGCGGCGGTCAAATTCGCATGTGCTGGGAAGGGGAGTTCTTGCGATGCCGCAGCGGGTCCAAAACCGTAAGGCTGTTTCGTTCGTTGCATCGTCAACTCAAGTATGGGTCCCGGTGAGGTTGTTGCCGTTGTGATGCTCTGTGAAGGTATTTGAACATCACATCGAAGAGATGGAGCTGCAGGCTGAAGGGATTTGAGCCGAGGACGTTCTGAATTCGAAGAGCTACAGTACATTGTACAAGGCGCCACCACAGCAGAAGATTGGGAAGACGAACTCACCCCGTGGTATCGCAGGGCGGGTGCCGATACAAGCTGCAATGACGAGAACCTTCTCGAGCGACCGAGTGAGTGTCCACGGGTCCAGCGTGGGAATTGGATCAATCTGGAGTATCGTCACCGCGACTTGTTTACTGGGTCCGAGCTCTGCTCTTGCACTTACAGTAGCTCGCGCGACACTTCTCTGCCTAGCAAGCATACGCAGTCTTTTTGCGAATCTGAGCGACAAGCTTCGCACGTGAGCTATCTATCTTGAAATCCTATTGGAAACAACGTCTTGCACATTTGGCTTCACACGCAATCATTCCTCAGCAAGGTAAGGAATTTGGGAGCTTCAATGCAGATCGTTGTCTCTAGTAGACTACTCATAGAGTTTTGTCCTGGTATCTGTACTGACACAATCGAGCTTATTAGAATGGCTTCCCTCGCAAGAAATAATGCCTTTGGTTGCCACAGTCCCAGTTGGAACCTTGCATTTCCTGACGGCCAGTTGACGGCCATTGAGATTCTGGCATATCTGCCTCATTGGCTCAAATCAGTTGATGTTATCGATCGTTTTGTTGCAAATGGGGGAAAATCAAGAGTCATTGCTGCCATTATCAACGAATTCCGCGATCAGCCTACAGGGGCCATCTTTCAGGCCAACTCGGCGCAGATAATGATGTCCTTTGCGATGCGTCGTGCTGGTTATGTTGATTGGACTGTTGGAACGTCTCATGAGTGGGCGCGAGCTGTCAACAAAGAAGAGGGTGATCTCAGTGTCACTGACTTCCGCACGCCTCGCATCACGCATCCCAAACACATCTCAAAGACCAAGAAACCACTTCACGAAGCTGCTCAGAATGAAGCAGCCGGACCAGTTGCCTTCAAGGATCTGGCCTTACACGTAAAAAAGCACCCTTCTGGTGAAGACGCTCTCGACCTTTCCCGTTGTGTACGGTATGCACTTGAACATGCAGACGAGGATTGGCTATTTCCTGACCATTTCGCGATTCTCACCCATCGCCTAGGTGGCCCAGCCCGCGTCACACACTCTCACCTCGACCGACAGGCGTTTGCTCGCCGCGAAATTCTTTTCGCTTCTCCTTGTCGCACCTCCACCCTCACCGACGCACCACGTCCTAAGGCTATGCCAACACCACGCATAGCTCGCGCAATCGAAGAAGCCGTTGTAGGATTCCAACCAGGCAATTCTGCCAATTCCAATCGGAAACGTAAGCTAGGTGCAGACTCCAGCAAAATGGCTACCAGCAACAAGAGGAGGAGCAGCAGGCTCGTTGGCAAAAACATCAACTTTCGCGAGGAATCAGATGTAGAGGACGTGGTGGGTTCAACAGCTCCTGGAGCTTGTCTATGAAACACAATCTGACTGCTTTCCAAGGATGAGAGTTACCTGCAGTCGCCATACTCTAAGAGATATGCCACATCAGCCAAAACACGTAGGCTAGGTCGCTCGCCCTCGAATGACAGTGACTTTGTCGGTGGAGCTTCTGAACCTGACGAGGACATCCCCGAATCGGAGGTGGCTTCTGGTGATGATGAGACTTCACTTACACCCAAACTCCGTCGCATGGCAGCTCAGAAGGCGCGCAAGGGTATGCAGTCGGCCTTTGTCGGTGAAAGCAGTCACACATCAACCATGAGCAAAGGGAAAGCCAATGTCTTGCTGCCAGCTGCTCAGCCAGCATACATGTCTACAGTCGTTCGTCCCGAAGTCCTGAACGTGGCTAAGAAATTCGCCTTTCGCCGCCCAGTTTGGCTGGCCCCGCCTATCCTCTCAGCGAACCGTCTCAAGGTCGACTCCTCTAGCCTCCGTCTTTATGCTGCCGAGGATTGCACCACTGAATCTGAGATGTGGTTTTCTGCGCTCTCATGCTACCGCTTCTATGGCCCGCGTCGACACCCGCCCTTCCGTGAATTACACCGCTTGACCGACCCCAACGAAAGTGACTCCAGCGACTGGGCTGAGAATATCCGTTGGGCCAAGGAGCAATGCCGCGCGTTTGGAAGCGACACTTGGACCGAGTACGACCACCATCTCGAGACGATCACTGAGCACAGGAGGGAGAGCATGTGGGTCAGTGAGGAGACCATTAAGGCTGGCATGTAGATGCCGTGGTCTTATGATATCTGGATTTAGACAATGGCATTCGAAAGGAAGGTTAGGCCATGAATGGTTGAGATATTTGAAGGTCACTACCGGTGTCGACAGTTCGAGCCTTGTACAGGTTACAGGTCTCCCCTTGCCGTTTCTGTCAGATAACAGCATCATTTGGGGTTCATACGATGTTTTGTACACTGTGTGATTAGGCAGTCGATCCTTTCTGATTTGGGCTAGTACACGTGTATTAGACCTTTGACATTGATCCGTAGCTAGGCCTCTTTCCACCTCAGCAGAGTGAATGAATGTTTTCCAAAAGTGTAGGCGCCTGCGCCATCCCAGCAGCTCTCCTTGATACCAACCTTTTGTTCCTGCATCGTATTTGTGACATTTACATTGTCGCCAGTCACTGTGAAGACTTGCACGTTCTTCGCCTTGAGCCCGTGCAAAGAGACTTCAAGGTCACGCTCCTCGCTGACGTTTGTAACAGCAAGATTTACGTATCCATCATCACCTAGCGTTGCACTGCAATCCAAATAGGGCGTCTCAATCACATCGCGAATCCAGTGTGGGTTGGTACGACCCGTGTATTCTGGGGCCCGTACGTTCAGCGCAATGGTATGGCCACGCATGTACTTGCTGAAGAGCCATAGCGGCCACCAGCTTGTCTGCTTGACGAGTCCGCTCTTCGTGGTCATCAAGGGCGAGATGACATTGACAGACTGTGCGATAGTAGCCATACCGAGATTCTTCGCCTCACGGATGAAGCCGTTCAAGAAGACTGAAACAGCGAGTGCATCGGAGAGAGTGTACTTTTCTTCACCACCCTCCTCACCCGGTGCTCTTACAGGATCCCAGACGTTCCACTCATCGAAGCAGATTGTGGGTTTGGGCACGCCTGCAGGTACTTTGTTCTCGATACGTGCCAAGTCGATGAGAGACATTGCTACTTGTATGGCACGCTCTGCTGATCTTGGAGCGACGGCATTGGCAAGATGTTCTTTGTCAGCGGTGTAGATGTGGATGGAATGCATATCGATGAGAGTCTTTGTGTGATCACCTGCGAGACCATTGGCATCCCACTTGACGCACTCTTTGATGACATGGTAGTCCCACGATGTGTGACCAGTTTCGCCACAAAGGATGAGGGTGATGTTTGGGTCGAGGAGTTTGAGAGCTTTGGCCCACTGGTAGGCTTTCTTTGCGTAGTCTTCTTTGGTCATCTGCTCCACGTTCCAAGGGCCCCAGCATTCATTCCCGAGAGCCCAGTATTTAACCTGCGGATGTTTGGTTACTAGATGATGGGAGGAAGAGAGGGAATAGGGAGTGTACATTGTATGGCTTTTCGCGACCATTCTTGCGGCGAAGGTTGGCGTAGTAGGTTTTACGGTCTGAGTTGCAGTACTCGAGCCATGCAAGAGCTGATGGGTATCAGAAGCGATACATCCTTAGACAAAGAGAGATTGGACGCACCTTCGTCCAAGGTACCGGTTCCAAAGTTCAAGCAGAGGTACGGTTCAGTGCCGGCTTTCTCACACCACTTCATAAATTCATCAGTGCCGAACTCATTGGTCTCAGTACCTATCCAGGCTAGCTCTGGTCTATGCCAATGATCAGTCAAAATGTTCCGAGAAAGGCAGTAACAGATATGGCCATTGCCAGACTGGACTGCAAGCCAAAAGAATTAACAAGCCCAAGCTATGCAAGCCACATGCACACAACAGCCAATGGTATTGCTGTGCCATCACACCCAGGCGGCAACATGTATGCACGATCGTACATGGGGGAATGAACATACCTGGCTGGTCTGTCCTCCTTGGGCCCAACACCATCCAACCAATGGTATGTTGCAACAAAGTTGCCGCCGGGGTAGCGAACTACTGGCACATTCAAGTCCTTGAATGCATCAATCACATCTGTTCGGAACCCATCTTCATCTGACAAAGGGTTTCCGGGGTCGTAGAGACCGCCGTATATACAGCGTCCCATGTGCCTGGTCTTGGGTTAGCATTCGATCGGGACCATCGATCTCGGGGCTTGTACTCTGTAAAGCCGCCATAGATGTTGTCGTTGATCTTGGCGATCTTGTGTGCAGGATGAATGCTAATAGAAGGAGATTCACTCTCGTCGATCCTGGTAAATGTCGCCATGGTTCTTGGACTTCTTGTATGTCTGTAGATTCAGGAGACGGCTGGGCTGGATAGATATTCTTCCAACAGCCGAGGAAGGATATGATTGTTCCAGATTACAACAGTGGTATGGCAGTGTCGAAGTCGCCCATAGTCTGTCTCATGGCTATGGCTTGCTTGCACGTGCATGTGGAGCGCGGACATGGCGCCGATGCGATGTCCGAGTAGGGTAGTGAATCCACATATCATCTGAGCTCTGATTGGTGGAAAGTCCGCCACCACATGCTTACACCACCACTCTCACACTATCACTCTTCGCGGCTAACCAGCCGGACAGACTAACAGCGGAACACAGTCAGCCTCCACCAGTGGCTACCAAGCATTGCTTCACCGACGCCTCCAGGCGCGCTATCTAACGTTATGCGTAGGACGGGACGAATGGATCGGTCTATGAGCCACCGAGTCAAATGTGGACGCCTCGGCGATATCACCGACGTACATATAAGATGAGATCGACTGGGATGCGAAGCGAGGTTCGCCCCCGCTTCATGTGGGAAATACGGGGAAAGCGTAATGCGGCGAGGGTTGCCCCAGGCCAGGATCATGGGGAATATGGAGGCTTACATTATAGGACCGGATCAGGAACGAGACCTTCTGGACAAAGCTATAAAGTGAGCTGTGGGTCCTGATCATCGTGCTTTTGTCTTCCTGCAGCGTCGCCAGTGTCGCTGTTTTGCACGATCTTTATTTCGTTAGGTATGGCGCTTCCTCCGAAAGTCTACCAGTTCCTTGTGGGCCTTTTCGCCTCGCTCGGTTCCCTGCTCTACGGTTATGACTTGGGTGTCATTGCTCAAGTCATTTCTGCGAAGGCATTTACTACCAAGTTCAATCCTACAGACAATGAGACTGGAGCGGTTGTGTCTGTTTTCACTGGTGGTGCGTTCTTCGGTGCCCTTGCTGCTGGTCCGCTTGGTGACTGGCTCGGTCGCCGTCTCACCATCCTGATCGGTGCGGTTGTAAGTGCTTCTTGCGTTTTCATTGCGATCCAGTCGATATACATTTGCCCTGGATAAGTGTTAATACTTCGAGACCATACGCTAATAATCTCTTTCTAGATCTTCTGTCTCGGTGGTGCTCTGCAAACCGGTGCCCAGGCCCTCTCCTACCTCTACTCTGGCCGTCTGATCGCCGGTGTCGGTGTCGGTACTCTTGTTATGATCATTCCCCTCTACCAGGCCGAGCTTGCCCACCCTAGCATCCGTGGTCGTGTCACCGCCCTCCAGCAGTTCATGTTGGGTATCGGTGCCCTGGCCGCTGCCTGGATCTCCTACGGTTGCGATGTTGGATTCGCCCCTACCAACGACGGCCAATGGCGCACCAGTCTGGGAATTCAAGTCGTCCCTGCTGTTTTCCTCGCCGCACTCATCATGGTCTTTCCCGAATCACCACGCTGGCTCATCGACCACGGCAAGGTGGAGCAGGGCCTCAAGAATCTGGCCAAACTACACAGCCACGGTGACGAGACGGATACATGGGTTCAAGCCGAGTTCCAGCAGATTCAGGATGCCATCACTTTTGATCATGAGAACGAGGCCAAGAGCTACATTGAGCTTTTCAAGGACAAGTCGTGCTTCCGTCGTGTTTTCTTGGCTTCGGCGCTCCAGGCTTCGGTGCAGATGACTGGTGTTTCAGCAATCCAGTACTACTCCGTTACCATCTACGGAAAGATGGGTATCGATGGCCCCGACGCACTCAAATACCAAGCCATTTCCTCGATCCTCGCGCTCTTCGGACAATTCCTGTGCATCATGTTCATTGATCGCTTTGGACGTCGCTGGCCGCTTATCTTGGGTAATTTGGGCAACTGCATTACCTTCATCATTTCCACTATTTTGCTGGCTGTTTTCCCGCCGGGCTCAAGCAACAACAAGGCTGCATCTTGGGGCTTCATCGCCATCACTTGGATCTACAACTTCAGTTTCAGTTCGACTTGTGGACCACTATCCTGGATTATCCCGGCTGAAATCTTTGACACGAAGACTCGTTCCAAGGGTGTGTCTATCGCGACTATGGTTTCATTTGCTTTCAACACCATGATTGGTCAAGTCACCAAGCCCGCTATGGAGACTGCAGGATGGAAATTTTACCTGCTGTTTGTCGTAAGTACATACCATGCCTTGTTGAATTTTTCAAAAGGCATAGACTAACACGTACAATCAGATCTGCAACTTGACCAACGCAATCTTCTTCTACTGCTTCCTCCCTGAGACTGCCAAGCGCCCACTTGAGGAGATGAACCACCTCTTCACTCATGCACCCGTGTTCGTTCCTAGAATGGACAAGCGCGACTGGGCTCCTGGTATGGATCTTGAGCGTCGCCTCGAGGAGGTCGCAGCGAAGCAGGGATCGATATCGCATGCCGAGGAAGCCAAGTACTAGGTGGATGTGTTGATGGCGAGTCTCGAGCTCGTCGGTGCGCTGTGTATAGATACGAAGTCGACCGTACATATGAATGAGAATAAGATTCTTTCGATGAACGATGAAACGATTGTACTCGTGTGATGTCAATCTAATCAACTAAACATCAAATTAATCAATGCTACTCTTAGAGAATCTGAGTGAAGCCATAAGCCTTTAGAAATTCTTCATGAGACGGTGCAATACTCCCAAAAAAATTACAGATCTTAGTGTTGTCCTCCATGTACCTAGGCCGTGCAAATGCTCGCATGCGACCTACCGTGTGTTCGGTAGTTTGCCTAAACTGTGGGTCGCGGTTTGCCACAGTCTGACGCACTCCCAGCCCATCGTTTTCTTACCTGGCACTAATTAGCGAATACCTATATTAAGTTTGCAAATTTCGTAACAAATACTGGCTCTCTAAGGTCGTGAAATTCAATGTATTTGAGTCTTGAACGGCTACTTTGATTATATCGTCACATCTGTCCCACGACCGTCTCTGCGTCTGATCATTTGAGGAATCCAGGAAAAAGCCAAAGCGGTATAATCTTTTGAGAGGTCACTATATACACGGAATGTTGAATACGTACCACAATCTTATTACCATTCATTTCTCGATATAAGCCTTCATCGGCCCCAATACCCACTCATCCCTCAACACTCTGAGCTCTTCGGCATACCAATACATAATTATTGCTCCAACAGTTACCAGCCCTGGTAGTAATAGCATTAAAACCACGTACCGGACCATACTCCACCATGCCGCCTCAAGATTTTTCCGCATCGCCTTCTCCTCATGCATCGTCGGATACTGTTCTTTTGGCACGTCCACCCCAAGGAACTCGCAAATCGGCTTCCACCTGAGCTCGACATCGGTATCAAGTTCCAATAAGCGTTCCTTGGATACGAGACTCCGGACAAAGCTGTAGTGTTTCTCGTATGCAGATCTCGCAGCAGAACCGCCGTACTGATTGCCATTGTGGACGCGGAAAACAGAGTGAACGAGGCGCATTAGGGGTGCTAATTGCGTGATGTTGAGTATACGACAGAGTCTGAATAACTTCCATGTATCAAGACACCAAATGCTTTCTTGCATACTCTGTTCCCAGTCCTCATACCGTCTCTTCGTCAGAATGACTTTGGCATCTGGGTAAGCTTCTATCAATTCTTTCGCAAAAATGCATCCAGGGAGATCCATGACGGCGTCGTAATCGCTGAGTAGCTTGTCGAAATCCGGTCTTGTGTATGGAGGCTGGTTGCGTTGCTTCGCGGGCCGGTCCTGTGGTGGAAGAAGAGTCACGTTGATGGCTTCCTGCCAGAGGACGAGTTCTGATGATTTCATGAGGACTTCGCGCATCTGGTGAGGGGTGTAGCCTAGTTTGCGGAGGGCGGAGGAAATGGATGTGGTTCCTGTGCGGCACATGCCTAGTACGAGTACGCGCATTGGGCGTTTTCTTGTGCGCGAATCTCTATCTATAAGCCTTTGGGGCGCCATTTTTGTGAGATTGTATCGATGTTTTCCTGGACTGGAGAATTGAGTTGTTGAATGTCGCGATGTTACAGGCTTTGCCAGACAGACGTCGAGATGGAAAGGCACGCGTTACCGGTATGCTTGGCAGCGGATTAGGCTAATTAACGGGTATAAGGCCTGGCTTGCGAGACCACGGCTTTGGAATCAACAACCCGCATTGGTCTCGTTGCTAGTAGAAATATTTTAGTGCAAGACTGTCAGAACAATGCTGTTGTATGATTTCTCCCAAGTTGAAGCATCTCAATCATGTGCTTGAATGCTGTTTCAGCTGATTTTCCCAACTCTCCAGGAACATACTAGTGAGATGGCGCATTTCCAAGGTGGAATTGGACTTGGGATCTTCAATGAATCTCAGTTCGTAGCCTTTGTTTGACCAGATAGCGGCATTTTCCCAATCCTCGATCCTGGCGTAGTGGATTGCAGCGATTCGGTAGGCTTTAGCATAATAGTCTGTGAGGCCTTCCTCTTGAACCAGCTCAATGAGTCGATGCCCAGCCTCGGCTTTCTCTCTTGCCTGCCTTTTTCCGCTCTTAGAATGAGGTGGATTCATGCTAAGGTTGGATTCGAGATTGAGAAAAGTCTCTCTGAGTTCGACACGGCGACCGTCGCTGACTTGCAAAGCAACCTGATCTTGGGCACACACATCGCATGTACATTCGAACCCATACTGCCTTAGGCGCCTTTGTCTCTCATCGCGTGTCAATAGTAAAGGAATGTATGATACGAAGAACTCTTCCCCTTTCTTGATCTTCCGAGATGCGAACACGATCCGTTTGTTCAGCTTCTCGCTCCAGTAATAGCTGGTGTTGGGTCGACAAGAGTGATTGATCCGCGCAATCTTAGGAAAAAGCCCAATACCCGTGCCAGTGTTGTATGCATTGGTTCGAAAGATCAGTGCTAGACGGCTCTGTGTTTTCTTTTCCACAGCTGTTGCGTGAACTGTCAATGACATGATCTCTGCTTGAGCTGCAGTTGGGAGATGTTGAAATTGCTCTTCGACAAGTCGAGATATTTCGGACATGGGATAGGGATCTCCCTTGCCCACTCTGGGTGGCTCGATCTTGATGGCAGGGGCCTCTCTCATGACAATGTCGCCAAGCTCTAGATCGTGGGTTGCGAACACACCGAGCCCTTTTCCATGACTATGAGCAATAATGAACACTTCTGGTGGTCCGCTACAGACATCGTTGCGGGGCAAAGATGATGCAGTGGGACAAGTAAGTTGATTGGCGATGACTTTGGAAGCTGACCACAGTGCAACGATAAGGAACGAGGAAGAAATCATGTTGACGGTAAGAGAGAAAGAGATTAGTGAGGGCCTAGATGAATTAAAAAGAGCGTTCGATCCATGCTTCACGGACGCAACACTTGGGATCTCAGAAGTTTACCGGTACCGGTACCCGACTGATGAAACACTGCCCGTCTTGTAAATTGTAACGTCGCAGCGCACCCCTGCAGCAGAACTGAGCCTGCAAAAACCGAGCGAAAGGCATGGAGCGCAATTTTTTTCGGTATCGTTGAAGTACACACTGTCCGCATAGTCAGTCGGTTTCAAAGCAAGAGAAAGAGTCGATGCCTGGCCTTGCGGGAGAAAGAGCGTCGCGCACGGGCCAGATTTGGCGCAACGACGCGTTACCGCTCGTGGCTGACACAATGCGCACATCGAGGACAAAACCCAAGCTTCCCCGCGCATGGTGGGGCCGCCTGCGACTACCGGGCTACCTACTCTCAGTATAACAGTTCGTCATGAGCACACCTTCGGCCAGCCGTGTGCCTTCTCCCTTGCGTGCAATGAGCAATCATTAGGGACTTGACTCTCCACCAACATAGCTTGTGACTACACAACATCCGCAGCCATCATGGTGTATGTCTAAAGGGATCACTGTTCACCATATGACTACTATATGATCCTAACAAGATTGCAGATACACGGCATCCTTTGCATTCTTCGAGGCCCTCTGGGAATATGGCGTTACCAACGTCTTTGTCAACCTGGGCAGCGATCATCCAAGCATCATTGAGGCCATCGTCAAAGGCCAGAATGAAAAGAAGGGCCAATTCCCCAAAATCTTCACATGTCCCAACGAAGTAGGCATCCACTTTCCACGTAGGGGTGGCAGCAACTAACGAGCCTAGATGGTTGCCCTCTCCATGGCGGATGGCTACGCGCGCCTGACAGGCAAGCCACAATGTGTCATCGTGCACGTAGATGTCGGAACTCAGGGACTGGGTGCGGCTGTGCACAATGCTTCATGTGGACGCGCGCCTGTTCTCATCTTTGCGGGCCTTTCACCCTTCACCATCGAGGGAGAGATGCGTGGAAGCCGCACCGAATACATCCACTGGATCCAAGACGTGCCAGATCAGAAGCAGATCGTTGCACAGTACTGCAGGTATACAGGTGAGATCAAATCTGGCAAGAATGTCAAGCAAATGGTCAACCGCGCCCTATCCTTCGCTATGAGCGACCCCAAGGGCCCCGTCTACCTTTATGGCGCCCGAGAACCTATGGAGGAGGACTTAACTCCCTACCAACTGCAACCTGAGTTCTGGTATCCCGTTGAGCCCGCGGCACTACCTCCCAGTGGTGTGAAGACTGTTGCTGAGGCTCTCGCCAATGCGCAAGAACCATTAGTCATTGTTGGCTATACAGGTCGCAAGCACGCCGCTGTCCGCGAGTTGGTGGAACTCGCTAACAACGTCAAGGGCCTAAGGGTTTTGGATACGGGAGGTAGCGATATGTGTTTCCCAGCAAATCATCCCGCATGGCTTGGCCTTCGATATGGCAGTGATCCCAGCATCAAGTCGGCAGATGTGATTCTGGTCCTTGATTGCGATGTACCTTGGATCAACACGCAATGCCATCCCAAGGAAACCGCCAAGATCTTCCACATCGATGTTGACCCGTTGAAACAACAAATGCCTGTCTTTTACTTGAACGCTCTCCAACGCTATCGCGCAGATGCGCACACAGCTCTCAGCCAACTCAACGGGTTTCTCCAAGCAAACCTTAAGGAGAAGCTTTCCAGTCAGCTCTTTTCACAGAGGTGGGCAGCCTTGCAGGATTCACACAAGGAGAAACTCGAGACGATTGCAAAGGAAGCCGTGGTCAACGATAAGGGCCATTTCGGCACTGCATACCTTTGTGCACAACTCAAAAAACTGTGTCCCAACGACACAATCTGGGCAGTAGAGGCAGTGACACAAACAGGCCTCGTTGCAGACCAGATACAAGCCACACTACCTGGCTCTTGGATCAATTGTGGAGGTGGAGGCCTGGGATGGAGCGGTGGCGGCGCGTTGGGTATCAAACTTGCAACTGACAGAGAAGGCATGAAGCAGTTTGTCTGCCAAATAGTCGGAGATGGTACCTATCTATTCTCCGTTCCAGGCTCCGTCTATTGGATTTCGCAACGCTACAACATACCCATCCTGACGATTGTACTGAACAACAAGGGCTGGAATGCCCCGCGAAGGTCGATGTTGCTCGTCCATCCGGATGGAGAGGGCTCGAAAGTTAGCAACGAAGAGCTGAATATCAGTTTTGCACCAACACCAGATTACTCGGGAATTGCGAAGGCGGCTTCCGGAGGGGAGATCTGGGCAGCACTTGTGAATACGGCTGATGAGCTGGCCAAGCTGCTGCCTGAGGCTATCAAGTCTGTGTTGAACGGTAAATCGGCAGTGCTCGATGCCCATCTGGAAGGACCTGAGGGCAAGTATGGTGGAGGCAAAGCGGCACTGATTGGCTGAAAGCACAAACGAAGTACTAGGTCTCAGGCTACGATAATGTCACTGACAATTAATATGCTTATGCAAGTCAGATGGATGATCCCAACACACTGTACTAACCGCCTTCGGCTCAGGATATCGCCAAGACTGGTAACGCTAAACCAGAAATAGTAATATTACTGCAAAGAGACGAGATCCAAGTGGGTCGATAAGACTCGCTCAGCCTTGTCCCACCACATCAGCGCTGACAGTGTAGCGCATAAGGCCTTTTGATCACTTTGGTAAGAATACCTGCAAGTTCTACGCGGTATAATGACCTGATATGGGCTGTGTTAAGCCACAGTGTTATGTTCCTTGGCTCGGGGTATGATATTGTCTGCCTAGGTGTGTATATATATGGCTGCGAACGGACGCTGGTACAATGACGCACAACTGCTTTCAACGAAACAGTATCACGTCCAGATAACTGAACCTGAATATTCACAACGCCACCTTGACTTTAGCTTAATTCAAGCTCATGACGATTTCATTGCTTGCCGCCGTCGCGGCAACAGCATTTCTGCCTCATAGCTTCGGGGCCCCACTGGCTGCGAGAAACAACAATGGGACCATGATATATGACTTCTCTGAGGTGAGGAGCATGTTAAACACCTACAATAGTTTGTGCTGACATTACCTAGCTGACAGCCAGCGCAGAGTTGGATTGGAAACCATGTCACGATAACTTGTGAGCTCCATTCCTCCGCAACTGGATGGCCATTCGTAACGATAGTAGCATGTGTACTTTACTTGCAGTACCTCTCGATTACAACGATCCCTCAATTGGGACTGTTAACCTGGCAATTATCAAGAAGCCGGGTCCCACCAAAGACGCCCAAGAAGTTCTCGTGAATCCAGGAGGTCCGGGTGGCTCATCCGTGGACATGATTCTACTTGACTACGCGGCAACACAGGAGAAGATTGGAAACCAGTATACGCTGGTTGGAATCGATCCCCGAGGAGTCAAGAACAGTGGCCCTTCGAGTGATTGCTTCCCACCTGAGCACTACCCACTTGCTGCGCGTAACTCTTTCATGCAAACTGTCATCACACCGTATGGTAGGTATATGTACATACCTCATAGGTATTTATGAGCCGGTGATAACTTCTGACATTTTGCTCAAAGACATTACATCCGACTACACTCTTCAGCACTCCCACCAAACTGTTCTCGCTTACGGTAGATGGTGCACCAGCATCTACGCCGTAAACAACACCGCCAAATACGCCAGCACAGTAGCAACAGCACAGGACATGCTACATTACATTGAACTCTCCGCAAAAGCCAGTGGCCAAGCTCCCGAAGCAGCGCAATTGTGGTACTATGGCATTAGCTATGGTTCCATCCTGGGCGCTGCCTTTGCAAGCCTCCACCCCTCGCGCATCGGCCGCATGATCATCGACGCCGTCTTAGATCTCCCAGACCACTACAACGGCGGTTGGGAAAACGCCATCCTGGACACCGACGCCGCCGCCCAATCATTCTTCAAACTCTGCTTTGCCGCCGGTCCAGAACTCTGCCTATTCCACCAAAACGCCACGTCCTGGGAGGATCTCGAGACACGGTACTGGAGCCTGCTGGATGGGCTGAAGAAAACACCTGTAGGGCTTGGTGACCCGCTGCTCAATGTCACGGCAGGAACTGATACCGTGGTGACACCTGCGATTCTTACTTGGCAGGACGTCACCAGCGCCATGTTCTCGGCCGTGTACTTTATCGATCCTGCGTTAATTAATGCCATGGACATTGGGCTTACTGCCTTACAAACACGCAATACGGATGTTCTTACCTTTGCGACGACCAAGACGCAGATCTCGACTGTATCACCGGGGTACGATTCACGCATGGCGCTAGCGCTAGTGATGTGTCTTGACGCCGATGGACGGGCAAATTATACGGATTTTGCGGATTTCAAGACGTTTGTGACGGAGATGGCGGGCAGGAGTAGGTATGGTGGGTTGAATGGTGCGTCTTTTAGTGGGCCGCTTTGTAGTCAGTTTGATGTTCGGTCGCCTGAGAGTCAACGGTTTGATGGTATGTGTTGTTGTTGTTTTGTCCTGGAAAGGGGTGTAATCGCGAGGTGGGATTGGGAAGAGTATAGCTAACTAGCTCACAGGGATTCCACGCGTAAACGGGACGAGCACGCCTATACTTTTCATCAGTGGTACGGCAGATCCCATTACACCGCTCGTCTCGGCGGAGAAGATGCAAGGCCTTTTCCCGGGATCGGGATTGTTGGTCTGGGAGGGCGCTGGTGTAAGTCTAGGTTTCTTTTTCTGCCAATCTTACTGTTGGCTGTCTTTGACGTGGACTAATGGGAATTTTAGCATACGGCCCATGTTAGGAAATCGGCATGTGTTTCCAGACATGAAAAGCAGTATATGTTGAACGGAAGGCTGCCGCCTGCAAATACGACGTGTGAGGTTGAGCAGCCGAATCCGTGGATTGCGTACAAGGAGATGGTGGATGAGATGGCGCGTTCTGAATGATACAAGTAGCAGGTAGGGAAACTATAATGATAGTTCGGATTGATGGGTGGGGGTGTACATATGCTCAAGTGCCATCTTCGAATTTAAATCATTGTGAAGTCTAGCCTTTCAGTCTTGTTTCCACTTCTAAATTTCTCCAGTAATTACTATGAGTAGCGTGGAAACAATCAGTTGTTGTGTGATGAGGTCTCAGGGAGAATAATTTTGACGCGTAACTGTGTTCTGGGCCATTGGGTTGAAGTTGCGTTATACCATGACTGATACGGTACATAAGGTTCGTTCCGTGCCGTTGTCGTTATTTGGTGTAGCTGTGAAAAGATTAGAGAATTCAGGAACTGCTACCTAGTATCATCTTAGTCTATTGACAAGAAAAGACTTGATTCGATCACGCATCCAACGATTTCCACTCATTCTTAGTAAGAAATATGAGTTCCGATGAGTCTAAGTTATGTTGCCTATTCGGGCTTAGCGTGGAAGTCTCCCGTTCATATTGGAGCACCCCCGCCTTTCAGATCCTCTTCACAAACGTCATCCTAACCAGCTCAATCGACTACATGTCTGTACTACAGCATGGAAGCGGTATAGAGATAGCTTAATGTTGAATGAGATACATGTTCAAATTGTCTGCGTTTGGGGGTCCGGCACGACTAACCCAATGCAGGCAAACTTCACCGAGAGGAGTAGAAGCGGACACGGGCAGTTGGTGTATGAATAGAGCCAGAGTATTTGCTGCTAAGAAGAGGTTGAACTATGCACGAGGATAAGCTCAAGGTGTTTAAATACCCTTCAATTCTGTGTTAGAGTTATTGGCATCACCTTCCTTTTTAACACAAGTACCAGTGAATAGTATGTGAGAACAGCACTACGATATGTGTTATATTTAGACGGAGCCTGCATACTGAATCCTTCTATAGTGTCTGTACCAGCCGTCCCCCTCACAATCATCAAAGGCGCAGGCCACGAATACATTCCTATTCCAGAAGGCGAGAGCGCAATCGTCGCAGACTTCCACTCGTACGTTCCCTCCTCCCACCGTCTCTGTTTCCAGTAGTAGAATCCTATCACACATCCAACCCTCTTCCCTCCCCCTACTCTCTCAAGCCCAACACCGTCTAAAATATACACCCCATCCCCAGCATCCGCACCAAAACCACCGAAACCCCAACCTACATAACCTCGGGCTTCTACCGCATCCAAGCCGGCCCGACGCGCAACATCCCGCAGTACACGTACGAAGAGTCCAAATACGTGCTCAGTGGGCAGATTGATGTGTTGGACGAGGCAAGCGGGGTGACGCACCACCTTGTTGCTGGCGACTTTGCGTTTTTCCATGTTGGCTCCAAGGCGCAGTTTTCGAGCAAGGCGGGCGGGATGGCGTTTTTTGTGGTGACGAGGCCGGTGATTACGGAGCATCCGGGGTTGAGGGGGAGGGAGGAGGTGGTTGGGGTGAAGGCGAGGTTGTAGGGGGTATGGTTTTGGGGTAGAGGGTTCAGGTGTGTTTGCTGATTACTATATGCCGGTATGTCGTCCATTTGGAGTCAAAGGATGGTAAAAGACTTGCATGACGGTCCTACAACATGTGGATTGTCAGTTCAAGACTTTCATAGCGGGCATATACCATGTGGATTATCATTTCAAGACTTCCATGGCGTACTATGACATGTGGATTATCATTTCAAGACTTCCACAGCGTCCTATAACCTGTAGAGTGTCATTTCAAGATTACCGGCATCATTTCAGAAGGACATGTGCATAGACAGGGAGCTTGACTTAAAAATCAAGCTTTGCGTGGCATAAGCTACTACTCTACCTACGCAGCATCAGTACACCCGTGATCTGCATCTGACCAGCCCCAAAAGCACAAATGTGACAGCGACAAGTGCCCCTGGTTACACTTGTGATGGTCAATTGGGTTATGCATGGGAATCGTGGGGTGAATAAGATCAGCTTCCCATCCCGTGCACCATGAACGGGTTTGACCACTTGTTTCAAATCTCGATAAAGGGTAATATGGCTCAACTTCGGCGATGTACCCTGCAAGGTAGGTTGATTACGCCATCGCTGACGAACTACTACGGCAGACATGAGGACGATGTGGGATTTTGGCGTTTCGATCGGGTGAGGGATAGGTGTGGTAGCTACATGTGAGACTCTGGGCGGGGCAATGCAGCAAATCGATAGAGTACCGGTAGAGCGTGGTATACTCTAGGGTGGGTTGTGGACAAGACTCGATGTAGCCAAGGCAGAGAGGGGACGTCAATGGCTGCTCCTTGTTGGCTAAAAGCCATGGGAAGCTTGGCCGACCAGGCATGTCTGTTGCAATGTAGGGGGGAGGCCCAGATGGGCCGATGGCGTCGGCGAATTATGGCAGGATCCCGGCCGACCCGCGTCATCTGCATGCGGCGGCGGGCATGCCATGTCTGGTGGCGTTGGGGGAGAAGGAGAAGCCTGCCATCAGCCTCGCAGCTACAGTACAGTACCAGGTAGGTAAGGGTACTAAGAAAAAAAATGCAAAGATTTGATTCTGCACGCTGCCAGATGGAACGATTCAATAAAGAGACAACCATAGAGTAGTAGGGACTTGGACTGTACTCTACAGATACCACGGCACCGTGCCATTCCATCACCGCCTCTCCTCCCGCTCTGTACAATCTACAACACCACAACACTCGTTTGTTCCAGCTCTTCTGACGATCATCCGAAGCGAAGGAAGCCGGCGGAAGACTGACTACCTACCTATTCTATTGTACCTTGAATACAATACAATACAGTACAACACAAACCTTCTCGCTCCACAGTGCGATAGGCAATCATCGATTGACAGGACGGTGGCCTGTGTGCAAGGACCCGCGCCCAGCCCATGCTCGCTCGCTACTTTTACATACAAAGTGGGCTCTACTCTACTCTTAGTACTACTACTCTAGTGCCATACTGCGACAATTCCTCCCGCTTGCTTGGCAGCTTGCGACGCCCTCCAGGGCCTTTGCCCCTCAAGCTGTCTTGTACGACCGGAGCGCAGCCGAAGCAAAAGCCACTCCCGCACTACACACAACGTTCACATTCGCTTTCTTGTTGCATGTGCTGTTGATCTTTTGGCAGCCCGCTCTCTTTTCTGTGTTGTGTTGCATGCAAAAAGACCGAACGTCGACTCAGTCACCCGTCGCTCGCTACTTCATCCAGAAAACTGAAATCTCCTCTCTGCTGCTCGCAACAACGGAGGTGGGCGCAGGGGCAGAAAACAAACAAACTGCAGGACGGAAGGCGCTCTCCGGGAAAAACAGACGGCCCTTGACCTTTGACGCGGCAGGCACGACTACAAGGAAAGGGGAGCAAGGAAGGAAGGAAGGAAGGAAAGAAAGAACGAGTCAGACAAAACAGAGAGAAGAGGAAACTGCGACTCGACCTTGTTCCATCCGCAAGACCAGAGGAAAGAGCGCTTGAAGCAAGAGCAACCCACGGGCCCACCACCGCCTCTCCAAAAGAAGGCTTCACAGCACCTGCCTCTCTCTCTCTGCCTCTCTGCCTCTCCGCCTCTCCGCCTCTCCACCTCTCCACCTCTCCGTCTCACACTCTCGACGACGTATCATGACGCGATAAAGAGGGCAAACACGATTCGAAGAGCAGTCGCGAAGCTCTAGTCGTTCACGCTGGGGAAGCTTCACCCATTGCCCACAGCACCTCGGCCACCACCATCCCGCCCATCCCGCCCTTCCGTCCTTCCGCTCATCCGCCCACATGTCCGACGAGAAGCGCACCCTTGTCATGGCTTCACCACCGCAAACAACACATGGGCAGCCTGTCGTGGCGGGCGCGCAAGAGAGCAGTGTACGTCGCTGCATGCGCAATCCCTGGACATGCTCGCCATATACCATCGTCACTACGCTGCTGGGCTTTGCTGCGCTCTTCCTCATGGCCCAGGCGTTCTTGACGCGGCAATTGGATACCAAAGGCTGCGACATGGCCTACATGCGACCCAACTACAGACGATACGACCAATTCGACACGGAGCACACGCGTTTTGCGACCAAGTACTCGCTGTACCTGTACAATGAGGGGGGCATAGACGAGGACTTTAGGGTAGGGACATGGCCTGCAATCGTAGGCCCCATGAGCTGACAGCTTCCTCCAGGTCAAGGGCGTGCCAGTCAAGAAGGGGCGAAGCAACGCCGGCAGCTACAAGCAAGTGCGCTCTCTCGCCTCCGAGGCAGCATTCCACTACCATAATACCGTCAGGCACGAGACAGATGCGAGCACAGCGGGCAAAAGACCACTGGATTTCTTTTCGGTCGACTTCAACGAGGATATCACAGCATTTCATGGGCAGACATTGCTAGATCAAGCCGAATATCTTAATGATGCCATCACATACATTTTATCATTATATCACACCCCCGGCCAGACTGCGCGGGATGCAAACCTCCCAGATCCTACTTCAGTCATCATTATCGGCCACTCCATGGGTGGAGTCGTAGCCCGTACCATGCTCACCATGCCCAACTACCAGGCCAACTCGATCAACACCATCATCACCCTAGCTGCTCCGCATGCACGACCTCCCGTCTCCTTCGATGGCGACATTGTCCGCACGTACAAGGCTGTCAACGATTACTGGCGCAATGCTTACTTGCAGAAACGGGCCAGCGAGAACCCTCTCTCGCAAGTCACCTTGATCTCCATTGCAGGTGGAGGGCTAGACACCATCGTCTCTTCAGACTATGCCAGTATTGAGTCTTTGGTTCCCGAGACCAATGGCTTCACCGTCTTTACATCCTCAATGCCAAATGTCTGGACTGGCATGGACCATTTGGCCATTACCTGGTGTGACCAGAATCGCAAGAGCGTTGTACGCGCCTTGTACGATGTCATCGACGTCTCACGCGCTACGCAGACGGTTGCGCGTGCGGAACGTATGCGAGGTTTCAAAAAATGGTTTTTGACTGGATTGGAAGACGTTGCCGAGAAGACTCTACCCAAAATCGAAGCCAAGACTTTGATTACGCTAGAAGAGAACAGTGCGGTTGTTGCCCAAGGTGAGAAGCTTGTACTCCGGAATTTAGGACGATCGAAGCAAAGACCGCATGCCTACCTACTCCCAGTACCACCACAGGATACCCAGGGAAGGAAGTTCACCTTGCTGTCCAACGAGAAGCTCGATTCGGCTGGCGAGCATGGCATGTTGGAGGTGTTGTTCTGCAGCGTGTTCCCTTCACAACCGGGACAGTCCACCACATTGTTTTCCATGAACATGGACTTCTCGGGTGATAGCACGGGGGCGACAAGGCTGGCTTGTAAAAACGCGGCGTCGGATGTCATCACGCTTCCTGCTTCCACTCGAGAATCGGTACAACCGTTTGGCCAGAAACAGGCGCCATTTTCATACCTTCAGTATGCGCTCGAGGATCTTGCAGAACATCAGTTCGTCGCTGTGGTTGACAAAGCTGGTGAGAGAAGCTCAGGCTGGGTTGTTGCAGAGTTTAGCACGGCTCTGGAGTCACAGGTGAAGATTGACATGAGCCTGAAGCGTCTCCTAACGACCGGTCTGACACTACGGCTTCCGGAGCGCCGCCCACTGACGACCGATATCCACGTGCCAGCCCTGAACTCTGGTCTTCTAGCCTACCACCTCCATGTCACCAAGCAATCTTGCGATCGAGGAGAGCTCTTTGCGCCTCTGATACGACAGTACATCACCAACATCCACGAAAGCAAGTTCTTTGTTAATGTCAAGGACGCTGATATCAATCTACATGGTGTCTCGCCGTACATGCCCCCTTCGCTGCATACAAAAGACCCCAACAACGGTCTTTCCTTGCAGATCTGGTCGGACCCTACCTGCGACAGTACTGTCGAGGTTACGCTGCGAGTGGATATCTTGGGCAGTCTGGGCAAACTTTGGATGCGTTACCGTATTGTCTTTGCAGCATTCCCTCTCTTCATTGTCGCTCTCGTGCTCCGCCAGCAGTTTCGGGCTTACGATGAGACGGGCGTCTTTATGAGCTTTGCGCAAGGACTGAACGAGTGCATCGAGTCCTCACTGCCACTTGCCCTTCTCGCCCTCACCTTTTTATCAGTCTTCTTGGCTGGTGCGCGGCAGCAGTCAAAAGTATGGTATATTGAGAGTGTTGTCAATGCAACCGCGCTGGTCAGCGACTCAAATCATGAGTTGCTGCTCGGGTCAGATGATACATTTTTCTGGTTCCTTGTTCCTCTCTTTGGACTGATGTGTACTGGCATATGCGTCGCCATCAACTACATTGCACTAATACTAGAGCTCCTTTTCGCATCCCTCTACTCCTTCATCAGATCGTCCACGCTCCGAAAGGATGAAGCTAGTCGAACCCCGTCAGTCTTCGCCGTCACGTCGAATCGTCAGAGAATACTCACCACCTGCGTTCTACTGTCACTTGTATCGACCGTGATACCATATCACTTTGCCTACGTGGTACTCTGCTTTGTACAGCTCGCAACCTCTGTCCGCGCCTTCCGCCTGGCCAAGGAATCGCATCTCGACACCAACTACAACTTTTACAACTACGCACACTCGATCCTCATCCTCATGCTCTGGATCCTTCCCATTAACCTCCCCGTGCTTGTCGTCTGGGTCCGGAACCTGGCCGTGCACTGGCTCACGCCCTTTTCGTCGCATCACAACATCCTGTCGATTATGCCCTTCATCCTGCTAGTCGAGACCTTGAGCACCGGTCGCATGGTGCCGCGAATCCAGCCCGGATTCTCCCTCTTCACCAATGTCTTCCTCTTCTCCATTGGCGCCTATGCCGCAGTCTACGGCGTCACGTATGCCTACGTGCTGCACCACCTGGCCAACATACTCTGCGCCTGGCTCGTGGCCATACATTTCCATCCCTCGGGTCAATCTCCCGCGCGAACAGATACCAGCCCACTAGAAACGCATCCTGCAGAAAAATCAAAAAAGCGGCCATGACCAGCAAAAGATTCAGCACAAAACCAAATATAAGCGCCTTCCGCGCACTTAGTCCTTACCGGACACCTAATAATGAAACGTCTATCCCTTTTTGTGTGTGTCTTCGTCTAATGGAGTTTTCTTGTTCCTTGTACAACAAGCCTGTTGTTGTTGTTGTTTTGGGTCTTGCATTCGATACCACTATACTGACTGACTGGCCTGGCGTTTTTTATACTCTTCTTTTTTTTTGTTCTTGTTCTAGAAAGTATGTCGGGGACAATGTATGCCCAGGAGTCCTTTTTGGAAAACAAGCGTCTTTTAATCATTGTCTTTGGTAGCAGTGGCAGCAGTGGCGGTGGCAAACAGCAACAAACAGCAGCAGAACCGTGTCTGAGTATCCCCTTGAGGTCTTCGGAATGGGGTGTTTTCTATATCCATACCCCTTTTCCCTTTTCCCTACCCCAGTGGGCTCTGGCTGTTTTGTCTCTTCTGCGGGTTTCGTCTTGTTTTCTTGCATAGGAATGGCGTTTTTTTCTTCTCCTCTTTCTACTTTTTGACGGAGGGGGCGGTTGTATTTGTGCATGTGCTGCCTTGTTTTGAGATTTTGGCGGCACAGAGGTGACGGGTGATGGGAGAGCGTGGGTCGTGGGAGAGAGAGCAGGGATGGTGGGAGAGGAAATAGTAATATTATTCTAGATTTTAAGATATTTCTTTTGACTTGTATTTTTTGTTGTGGTTGTGTGATGGGTGTGAGGGTGTGGAATGCGAGGAAGAAGATAGAGTGAGGGACGATGAGAGATGAGATTGGGCAAGGGTGGTTCGCTTGGTTGTAATTCTTTTAACTTGTAAATACGTGTTTGCATGGTGAATAATAACTGAAAAGTAACAACTAGACGCCATGGAGATGCTCAAACACATGCATACCTCCTCCCTCCCCTCCCTTCTTACTTTGGAACATAATCTACCCCTTCCAAACCATCAACCTCCTACTTCCTCCTCTTCCCCCCGCCCCCTCTACTCTGCCCGCCATCCTCCTGCCTCCCTCTCTTCTTCCCCTCCCTCGCCCAAAACTCCTGCTTCTCCCTACGCTCCCTCTCACCTTTCTTCTCCGCATTCTCCGCCACCTTGCGCTTATACCCCTCCTTGCGCTCCTCCTGCTTCGCCCGGCGGCGCTCGACCTTCTCGTTGCGAATCGTCTGCACCTGATCCAACAGCCTGCGCGCCTTCTTCTCCTCGCCACCGAGCACAACCGCGCGTTTCTGGAGATAGGTCTGCTTCTTCTGGGGCTTCATGGTTGCGATTTGGGATTTGAAGGGCAGGTCGGCGGCGAGTTTGCGGGGCACGCGGAGCGGGTTGAAGACGCGGGTTTCACGGACCACGGGTCGGTACGCGCTGTTCTTCTCGCTCGGCGTCTGCAGGCCGTTTTCGTGGCGCACGAGGCCTGTGAGGCGCATGCCTTGCCAGCTGGTGGACTCGCCCGGTTGGTCGGGAGTGGCGGGGTTAAGCAGGTTGGTTACCGTGTTGTAGAAGCGGCGGGGCTTGATCGGGTACCAGGCTCGGAGGAAGACGATATCGCTCATGAGAATCTTGTCTTCAAAGGTGGCGCGGAAGTTGCCTTCGGGCTTGCTGAGGGCGCGTTTGATTTGCCCGCGTACACCGGAGACGGTGCGGATGCTTGCGCCTTCAAACTTTGCAATCTCGAGCGACGACTTGAACATGTCTTTTATAAACGCCGTGTTTTTGAAAATCTTGTATGGGTGGCCGGTGAGTTTCAACTTCTTGACGATTTCTGTGGACTCGTCCACGTTCAGCACCACGCCTGTTGCTGCGATTCGAAAACCGGGCGTCTTGTTGGACAGCGACTGGATGCAGATGAAGCCCGTGTTGGGCGCAACAAGAGGGCCGTAGAAGGTTCCGAAGCAATGCATGTGCTCGGGTGTGTACTTGAGCATCCGGTTTCTCGTTCGCGAGTCGGAGATGGAGTAGATGGGGAGGGTTTGGAAACGTCGCCATCCTAGGGAGAAAATAAGCGGATCATTAGTCTTGAGGATCTTCTTGTGCCACCGGTGACGCTTGATGCGGATCTGCACATATCCAAAGCGTTCTTCCGTAGGTGTCAAACCGCCGATAAGAATAGGAAAGCGTGGGTTGAAGTGTGCGGTGAACTCATAAGGGACCTTCTCGAGCACGATGCGTGCATATGTGCCAGCTTTGTGACCCTGAACCCGTACTCGGGATAGCTCGTCCAATTGGTCGAACTCGGCACGATTGATGTCGAGCTGCTTCTGAATCATGGCCTTTTGCGCATCGTACCAGTCATCCTCTCCAAACTCTTCCTCTTGGCCACCTTCTTTACGTGCATCAGCTTTGTCGTTCATGAAGCCTTCGCGATCTTCCTCTTCGAAACGGAGCTTGAGTTCCTCCTTCCTCTTCGCGTTCTTCTCACGCTCAGCTTCTATCGAGTTGGCCTCGGCTTCAGCTTCCGTCTTTTCCTTCTCCTGCCCACCACTGTGCTTCTCGCCAGTCTCCAAGTCTTCAAATTCGCCATCGCCTTCGTCATCTTCGTCGAAACCTTCGAAGTCATCGCCATCTTCGTCATCATCGCCCTTGCCATTCATATGGCCTGTAGCGAACCGACTCATTAATGCTTGAATGTTCTCCTCATCTGCCCACTTCTCGGCGAGCTTAGAGTAGTCGAAGCGCTGGATATAGCGATCCTCATCATCCGCATCACCAAATTTAGACTTCTTGAAGAAACCTTCATCTTCGTCTCCCTCCTCAATGTTTTCTTCTTCTTCTTCGTCTTCGGCTGTCCACTTTTTGACAACATCCTTGGGTGTGAGATCCATGTTGTACATGAGTTTCGCCAAGTCTGTGACGCGATACGGCCGTTTCTTTCCGTGGAGCTTGGTCGCATTCTCCCTGAGATTGGCTTTCCAGCGCAGCGTACCATCTTCGTCGTCGTCGTCGTCGTCATCTTCTTCTTGCGAATCGAAACTGCCGTTTTCGAGGTCGGAAAGATCAGGCTCATCTCCACTTATCGACCCGAGATCCGAGTCGCTGTCGGCAAATGCCACTTCTTCTGCAACATCGCCATTCGCGTCCTTCTCTTGACGCCCAAACTTATGTTTGCCATGCGATGACGCAGTTCGGCTATCCAGAAACCCAGTATCATCCTCATCGTCCTCGTCCTCGCTGTGGTCTTGCTGCAGTTCCTCATCGTCGCTGTCGATACCTTCAAGATCAGCATCATCAACCTCATCCGCATCCGCCTTCCTAGCCTGGCGATGTGACGTTCGTCCCGTGTCTTCGACATCATCGTCCTCGATTTTATTAATGACCTGGCCATTATTGAAAAGCCTAAACCCGCCCTCGTCCTCGCCGAGGAGTTTCCTGCCACCCTGAAGACCAATCATCATCTGCTCACCAAGTCCCTTCTCGGAATAATCTGCCTCAGGATCAAATGTTGACGTCTTGACATCGATATACACGGCGTCTTTGTCGACCAAGACACCACCAACATCCGACATGGGTGCATAGAGAATCTTCTGCTTCTCGCCAAGTCGTGTCCTCTTCTTCTTGGCACCCAGCTTCTCCGCTGCCTTTTCTGCAAACGGCGTTGGACATGGGTCAGGTAGTGCTTCGGTGGAGGTGACTGTAAGATCGCCAACACCAGGTATATGCACCCTCGATCCTCCTGCAGGGAAATTTGTACCGCGGAGGTATCCGTACAGCGCAACGGTACGATCGCATTTCGGATCCGCTTCAATGTCGGTCGGGGGCGTGATATCGAGCATTCGATCCGCAAGACAATAGGGGTGGCTATTCCTCCAGATAAGCGGTCGCGGGTTCTTCATCACGCTCAAAAAGCGACTCAGATTCATAATCTCCCTGTCTGGGTACCGCCCATTGACCACACCACTCAAGTAAAAGAGTTTAGCGCCCTGGTACAGTTCGCTCCAGAAACGGTGCTTTAGGCGCTTCTTTTGCAGTTTGAGTGTTTCTTGCTTGCGAAACAGGTCGAGGTGTGTGAGGATACCGAAGACATTTCCTGGCATGCCGCTTGCGCTGAGCACATTAAGGAACTCCATGGTCTCCATTTCGAAGCCGTAGTTGCCGTCAATCATGAGGAGGCAGATATCCACCACCTTGGCGATATCGATCATGGCTGCGAGCGAGTCGGCAGGACATTCTATAAAGGTGAGGCGGCGGCGCTTCGAGGTGACGACAGTGAGGGGCCCGGTGGGGGTAGAGAGTGTCTGCTTGGTGTAGCGTCTGATGAGGGACTTTATGAGTGTTGTTTTTCCGACGCCTGGTGGGCCAACGACACCCACGATGATGGGGGGCGCTTCTTCGGGGAGGCGGTCGACGAGAGGGACATGGAGACGCTTTTCCTTGACCTGTGACCCATGCATCAGCACAAGATGGATTCATTCAGCTTTTTCCAAGTACATCATACCTCAGTGGAGCGCGCAGCTTGCTTCTTGAACCTGCCTGGCGCCGCATACGCAAATGCCTTTGGATTCGGACCTCCAGAATGCGCCTTCTTCTCCTTGGCCGGGCGATGGGGACGATTCGCCTGTGAGTCGGCCATTGTAGTTGTCCTGCACCAGACACCGTTCCCGCTTCTGTAACTATCTCGCCAAATAAAGAAAGTCGCAAACAGAGGCGCAAAGTTGATCTTCTTTCTCACACAACCACAGAACCAAGCCTCCAACCACGAAACGTCCAAACTTTTTCGACGCTAAGCCGCCACGCTAGCGCAGCAATAAACAGGGATCTGCTTATCGATAAGAGACCAGCGCCTTTCCCCTTTGAGCCCTTCCACTCTCGGACGCTGTCGTGTCTGTCGTGTCTGTCGTGTCTGTCATGGCTCTCGTGTCTACTCTGCAAGAAGAGTAGTGGGAGTGGCGATGAATGGACGGCGTGGTGGGGCAAAAGGATGCTCACATGGCTTGTTGTCCGTTTGACATGTGCTGTACAATTCGCCTGCAACAGAAAAGACCCGCGCACGTCATCGCCCAGCCCACGTCCAGAACCTGGAACCCAAGGCTGTTGGCCAACAGGGGAGAGGGGCAGAGAGCAGAGGGCAGAGGGGCAGCAGGGGCAGCAGGGAGAGGGGCTAGGAGGGGCCGGTTGGTTGCGTGTAAAGTGTTGACTGATGGATAGCCCGTCCCATCCCATCCATGCCCTGAGATTCAGGACCCTATATAAACTTGCTTTCACCTTGCCTTCTTATGCTTTGAACCTTCACCTTACGTTCTCTTGTGAATACTACACACGACTACTACTACTGCTTCTACTACTGCTTCTACTCCTACTACTACCCCACCACCCCTCTACAAACTCACAACCCACCACCCATCATGCCTCAATACAACGTACAAACCCCCTCACCCCCACTCATCCACAGTAAAACACGCTGACAACTCTCTCCCTCTTCCAGGTAACCCTCAACAAAGACGCCTCAGCCTCCGACCTCGAGCAGGCCAAACAACACGTCAAGGACCAAGGCGGCGAGGTGAGCCAACCCCATCCCCTCCCCCCTCCCCCAAACTACCTACACTACTGCCCTACGGCCTCGACCCCCGCTCTCGCAACCCTGCAACAGACAAGACAACCAGGAAACTAATACAACCTTGAAATGGGGGAGTTAGATTGTCTCAGAGTTCACCCTGATCAAGGGCTTCACGGCCAAGCTGCCCGATGATCTGGTCACGACCCTCAAGAGCAACGACAAAGTCACCGTCGAGCATGATGGCGAGGTCACTACGCAATAGAGCGACACTCTGCTTCGAGACATGCCCAAAGGGCCAAAGGGAAGGGGTTTTGGTCGAGCCCTGTGGTCTCTCATGGGATAACACAATGATGGTGCAGACACGGATTGCATGGGTATAGGAATAGCAGTGCTTCGGACATGTCACTGGCATATCTGGGTATATAGCAATACCAACCCTCAACCCACCCAGCCATCCCTCTATCCATCTATCCAGCCATCTCCTACTTACCCCCCTCTCTATTCCCACTTCCGCTCTCACTTTCACTTCCATTTCCATTTCCCTTTCCATGTTTCTGCCACTGGTCAACCTCGTCCACCCTCCCCACCCCCCTCAAACTCAGATACACGTCTGTCCCCCAACCCCACAGGCTCTGCACCGCAATCCCTCCCCCAAAATACTCTGCGTACGCCCTCCCCAGTGGTAATCCATATCCCAACCCCGCCAGGCTATTCGCTCCCTCCCCTCCTGGGCCTGAGAACGCATTCAACGCATCCATGCCATTTGCAGAGTTGTTCCCGCCAGTGAGCGTCGATGAAGCTTGCTGGTCATTGAAGGTGGTGAAGCTGTAGTCCCAAATGTGCGAATAGTTCTCGGGGGAAATCCCCCCGCCACGGTCGCGAATTCGAATCGTCACCCCGGGTGTCGAGTGCTTGAGGGGGGCAATGTCCGAGTCTGTAGACTGCGATGTCTTCTTCCCCGTGAAGTGCTGAGAAGCAATGTCCGTGTTTCCCTGATCACTGTTCTTGATCGTCTTGTTGCCCGCCTCCTCTGCGCTCTCGCTACCCGTCTTCTCCGGCAGCAGTTCGGGCAAGGGCGCAATGGTGACTTCGACCGGTTCTCGCTCCATGCCCGACTCAACAGTTGCGCGAAAGGCATTTTTGAGCAGCTCGGTGATAATATATTCGAGATGCACGGGAATATGGGCGAACTCGTAATCGGGTTCGCCGTTGATGACGACAGTGGGTCGGACGCCGTATTTGAGTTCGCAAATTTCGCCCACGACATTGGCGCAGTGGTCTACTATCCTCGCCGGCTTAAGGCGGGTGTCGATCACGCCAATGTAGCCTTGTGAATCTACTTGCTCGTGCATGATTTCGGCATGCGGTTGGCTCGAGAAGTGCAGAGATAGATGTTGTTCCGCAATCAGTCTCGTGCCTATTCGTGCTCGCAAATGTTCGTCAAGGAAGCGCGTGACATCCTTTGGACTGATGTATTTGCGTGCCTCGAGGAAGCCCCGGGCCAAAGTACTAATAGTATTCGAATGTGTATGCACAAGATCAGCCATGACCTCTGTGAACTTGATTTCCTCCTCCAGCGTCGTAATCTCTTGTTCCGCCCATGGTAACAATGTGGAGAGACTGTGTATGTAGTTCGAGTGGATTTTCGAGACGTGTGGGTTCGACACGACGATAAAGGGGAGGTTTCGAAGCGACTGTATGCGATGCGCGAGGCGTGCGGGAAGAATCGAGAGCGTAAAGTTGGCAGAGGTGAGGAGTTGTTGCGTTGTGAGCGGCGGTCTTCCGTGTCTGGGTAATTATTGTGTTAACCGTAGTTATGAGTCAGGCTTTTGCGCCCGATAATCACCATTACAGTAGGATGCAATCACAGCCTACGCTAAGTACTTACTTTACAAGATCAGCAAGCGTGAGCGGATGTAGCGGGAGACTCGCCAAATGCGATATGTCGTTGTCGGTAACTGTTCTCGTGTGCAACTTGCGATGGGTCCCACGTCCGAACAACGGGCTGCTCGTTCTTCGCGAAATGCGTGGACAGCACAGCCGAATGACTTGCGACTGGATGATCAGAGGCCGCTGTATTTGCGCCATTGTGTGCCGAGTCCTATGTCTCGTGTCCAAGGTTCGAGAGACTACAGTCTACAGTGGTGGACTGGTCAAGAGGCCAAGGCCAAAGCCAGAAAGAACCTAGGAATGACGACCGCGAACAGGCTTACTCATGGAGAGTGACGTATAAAAATGCAATCAAGGCGGCATTGCAACAGACGTGATTCACTCTCTATCAGGAATCAGGACTGGATGGATTACACAGGACAGGTAGGTCTCCCCACGGAAGGAGCAATTGAGTACCAGGTACTTACGTAGGTGCGGGCGGAACCGAAGCTTCTTCAGGCTCATGCATGCGAGACGAAAGCGGTCAGCCGCATGTCGATCTACCATTTCACCCCACGCCTCATCATGTCTCTCATCGACAGTTTCACCCCGGCAAAAAACAAAGGAAAAATACAGCCATGTTCTGACAATTTCTCTTATCGCTTCAAGCAGCGGGTCATAGCCACCAGATAACAGCGAAATAAAAAAAAAGTTCTAGTTACAAAACCACAATCGTCACTCTGATATGAGATACGTATCACAACGAAGTCTTGATCTAGAATACCTCTCCATCTTACCTAGCCGCTCACCTCAGCTGACGAGAGCTTGAATATAATTTGGCATATTCTGGGTGTTGATATTCGTCAGGGTGTTCATCCATGATTGCATTCCAAGACAGACATAGCTACCATGACACATGCCTCTTACGAACAAGAAATACATCAAAGCCGCCATTAAATTTAAAACAATATCAAGCTGACAGTAGCCATACTAAGTAAGAGAGATGTAATGATTGTACATGAAAGTGGTTACATAGTCCGAATCGTCTAGAATAGGCATGCCTTGATAGCTTTTGCCAACGACAGCAAACCGCTCCGTTCACGTCCACTTGCACCAACATTTCCTGCATGCTTATCCCGTTACATACGCCCAAACTCATTGAAGCATATCACCACTAAACAGTCTCTACAGCTACCAATTCTGCTCAATTTACTTAACTGTCCCTACCATTACCACAACTAGAAGTCTTGGTGGTGTATGCTGGTGCAGTGGATGCAATGGCATAAAATACAATTGAAACAACATATTCACACACGCACTGCCATTCGATATGGCCTTTGACAGTTCATTCTCAAGTTTTTACTAATAAGCATCGCAAGTAATAGGAACCAATCAACCAAGAGGAAGGCCAAACTCACGTCGTCCGAGATGGAGATGGAGATGGAGATGCGGAAGAAGAGAAGGACTGTATAGCCTGCCTCAAGCGTGATAAGATGGTTCTCTTAGATGAGAACAAGTAGGGGAATGAAAGAAAGATGCATCTGTTGATCGATTTCCTTGAAAACACATAGATTCATATCTCTTGATAGGCATTATAAAGACATGCATGACATCACGTACGCATATACGATAGTAAATAGCGTAGTAACAATATAACTATCAGTGTTCAATAATCAAAAATATTTCGTAGCCTGGTGCCACACCATCGACTACATCACTCAAGTGCATGGACAACATTTGAAATGTTTATGGAAATCTATTGTTCTATCTTCCAAGAGATGGAATCAGACATCAATCATGCTAAATTTTGTACCCGGACGCCGATCATGAACACACACCGCATTACTCATAGCCTGGTATCATATAGGCCTGTCATGCAACTCTTGCGAACCATCATGCCATGAAACCAGAAGAACCAAGGAAACTTTTTCGATCAACAGGCGGCGTTGAACATCTACTCGTCTTCGTCAGAGAACACCTCCTCACCACGCTTGCGGCGGGCCATGCGGTCCTTCTTCTTCTTGCGCATCTCAGAAGAGGTAAGCTTGGCCTTCTTCTTAGTCGATTCGATCTTGTTACCTATAATGTGTCAGTGAAAGTCAAGATAATAATGCCAAAAGGGATCACGTACCCATCGCATCGAACGTTACTTCATCGTCGCCGCCATCCTTTGCTAGTCGTGGTCCGGCACCTTGTCCTTGTACCCAGTTGTGTCCAGAGGGGGTCATGCGACCATCCATGACAGCCCAGACTTCCTCGGTAAGACCCTCGGTGAACTCAGAGGAGTGGGTGATGATGATGACACCACCTTCGAAGGTCTTGATAGCCTTGGAGAGAGCTCCGAGGGAATCACGGTCAAGGTAGTTGGTGGGCTCGTCAAGAACGATCAAGTGAGGACGTTGCCATGAGCAAGCGGACAAAACGACCTTGACACGCTGACCACCAGAGAGACCGCGCATACGCGAGTGAGAAACAAGCTCAGCGTCGAGACCGAAGTTGGCGCAGTGAGCCTCAATCTCCTTACGGACAAGGGGACGGAACTGACCAGAGGCGAGAGCCTCCTTCTGATCGACCTCGGCAACCATCTTGGAGTGGGAAGCCATAATCTCGGAACGAGGAATCCAGGCATTGTCTGCAGTCATCATGGGTGTCCATCGCTCGTTCTTCAAGCCAACGTTCTCACCAAGGGCGAACGAACACTCGTACTCGTACGAGTTCTTGAACTTCCTGCGAGAGTTGATACCAATGACACGACGCTGGGTACCTTCAATCTTGTAAATTTTGTCCATGGCCTTCTCGTCCTCCTCAGTGACGATCTTGTTGGCACGGTCCATGGTCTCACGGTCCTCACCAGTCTGGAAACGCCATTGAATGTACTCGGAAGGAGTCTTGTCCAAGTGGTGATCGATGTGTGCGAACGCGTGCTGTTTGATGTACGCAATACGGATATTCTCGTGGTGATAAATCTCACCCTTCGTGGGGACAAGCTCACCAGTCAGAACGTTGACAAGGGTAGACTTTCCAGCACCATTGGGCCCAATGACGGCAATACGAGAACCAAGCGAGCACTGGAAGGTGATGTCGGCAATTTGGGGCTTGGAAGTGCCCTCATACTGGAAGCTCATGTTGGTGGCACGGAGAATGGCCTTGGCCTTGGTCTTGACACCCTCGAGGAAACCGGGCTCCGGGAACTTGAACTCCATGTCAGAGGCACTCAACTCGTGGTAAGACTTGGCCGAGGGCACCCGCTTAACGAAATCGTCAAGGTTACCACGGTAACGCTTGAGCTTGAAGCGCTCGTAGTGGATGACGTGCTGAATGACGTTGTTCAAGAACTTGCTGTCGTGAGAGATGACAATGGATGTGCAGGGAGAGTTGATGAGGTAGTCTTCGAGCCACTTGACATTCTTTACGTCCAAGTGGTTGGTAGGCTCGTCGAGAAGCAGGATATCGGGCTGCTCAAAGACGGCACGAGCAAGAGCAAGCTTCATCTTCCATCCACCAGAGAGCGCACCAATGGGTCCACTGTACATGGCGTCGGTGAAACCGAACTCGTTGAGTGTAGCCTGAACCTCGGCCTCGGGCTTGTTGATGCCAACAGACTCGAGCTTCTTCATGGTCCAGCCAAGAACAGTCTGCTCAGTGTCGGCAGAGTCCAAGTCGTGCTCGACGTAAACAGTCTTGACCTCGCTCTGCTTGGGGAAACCCTCGACCTGCTCGTTGTTGATGGCGCGCATGAGGGTGGTCTTTCCGGAACCGTTGGGTCCGAGAAGACCGTAACGCTGGCCACGCTTCAGACGGAGATGAGTCTGGTTGAGCAAGATCTTGGCACCGTAGGCCAAGTTAAATGTGCAGTTGCAGAGATCCTCGCCCTCCTCCTCATCAGGTTCGACAGCGTTTTCGGCAGCGGCACCTGGAAGAGAGCGCTTGCGGAGAGCCTCGGTGATGTCCTTGGCCTCCTCGTCACCGACAAGGACGGCGACGAAAGGACCGGCATTAGCCTGCCAGTTGAGAGGCTCATAGTCCTTCTCATCAATGAGCTGACCGCCGATGGCACCAATGTAGTTGACAACCGGGGTGAAGCGCTCGTCAATCTTGTACTTGGAGGGAAGGACAGCCTTGAGGTTCGCGGCGATGGTGGCAATGTCACCAACCTTCTCAAGCTCGGGGATCTTGCCGTTCTCAACGTGGCCGACACGGATGAGGGTGTCGAGACCCTGGCGGGTCTTCTCACGGGCCTCGGGGTCAGCCAGGTTCTCGAAGTTCTTCTCAAGCGCAGGCATCAGACGGGGCAAGAAAGCGGCGACAATCTGGGGGTCCTCGACAAGCTTGCACATGTTGTCGATAATGACGGCAGACTTTCGCTTGATGGCAGTCTCGCGCTCAACCAGACCACGCTCAAGCAGGGGAACCATGATGGCGAGGGTGGGCTCGTGGACATCAGTGACGAAAGTGGTGGCACCGAGCAAGTGAACGGTCTCTGGGACGTTCTCGGGCTTAGCGATACACTTGATGAGCTCGGGAATGAAGCGCTCAATATCCTTGTTGGAGATCAAGGAGCAGAGAATCTCCATGGTTCCATAGGCAGCCTTCTTGACCTCAGGCTTGGTATCCCACATGGCGGAGGAGATGACAGGAATCAAGTCTGGGACACGGAAAGCCATCTGTGCAGGGGCGCTCTTGGTCAGAGCCTCGATGCACTTCAAGTCGGTCATCTTTTCAGGCCACTTTTGTGCGTTCTCGAGAGAGTGAATGATGTGAGGGATGATGGCCTTGACGGCGTTGGGGTTCGCAGCCATGACGATGGCCTCGGCAGCCGTCTGAGCAGCGACCTTGACGCCACTCATCTTATCACCGACGGCGGCGAGCACATCTGGGAGAAGAGAGACGAGGTAGGGCTCAACAGCGGCGCTGACGTGTGCGTGCTGGGCGATGGCGCGAATGGCATCGAGCGCGCGCTCACGGGCGACGGCATCCTTCTTGCTGGCGAGCTGCTTCTTCAACAGGTCGACAGCCCTGCAAAGTGTTGTTAGTATTCGTCTGTCGTGGTGGGGGCGGGGTGGCGGGGCAGATTAGATTTCCACATACTTGGTGGGAGCGTCAGCCTCCTCAATGTCGCCGTTGATGAAGGTGGCGATGGCACTGGCGGAAGCGTTGATCTCGTCCTGGGCCTTGGACACGGTCAACTTGCCCATGAGCTCCTCGAGGGCCTTGAGGGCTTTTGAGTTCTCCGACTTGACGGCCGAGTCTTGCAAAGCAGCGGGAGCCATTTTGCAGAAAATTTGGGGTAGGAGAGGGGGGTGGTGGAAAGGGTTTGTGAAGTGAGGGCGGGAAGGGGGCCCTTATATGGACAAAGGCGGGGGCCCTAAAACTTTTTCGGGGGAGTGAAGGATAGACGGGAAAATCTATCGGGGTATCTCTTGGTGCAAAAAGTCGCGAGAAGTGGCACTCGCAACGTCTATGCAACCTGAACGGGGGGAGAGGGACAAAGAAGAGAAGAGAACAGCCTTGGGTGAGCCCAGAGGGAAGAGAGTGAGTGGAGTGAGGGCGCAGGAGAGTCTGGTCTCTTACACGGGCTTTTTATCACTTTGGCCTTTTTGGTGGGCTTGCCTCGCTTTGAGAAAAAAATCTTTGGCAAGGGCAAGGGCAAGGGCAAGGGCAAGGGCCAGCGTAGTAGAGTAAGCCGATAAGATACATTAGCGCCAGTGGCCCCTGCGTTCCCAACCGGACACCCTCGCCCGCACACAGTTTCCAGTTTCCGCACAGGACGTACTGTATTCCCCTCGGCCACACACGCACACACATATACTCTCTCTCTCTCTCTCTCTCTCTCTCTCTCTCTCGGCGAGAAATGTGTATTTTGCCACTGCTTCTCCAGTTATTGTACGCTACCATTGTACCCACATGTTGGGCTGCTCCCATAGAGTAATAGGTACAATACTCCAAAGTAACTTTAGCCCCCTCTTGCTCTTCCGTTTGTCTGACAACGAAGACGCATTGCTGCTGGGGTCATATCACAGCCCCACGTTGCAAAAAGAGGCTCTCGTTGTGTGGCGAGTTTTGCCTACGCCGCCTTGACCGCCTTCTCAGCGTAGCACATGCGAGCCAATGAGAGCCTGGCAAATGGAGAGCCGCGAGTTACCAAGTATGCGCGAATGAAGATCAGGGTCTCTCTTCTCCAAATCATATGCTGTCGTCGGCTTGCCTCTGAAACATTGCTTGACACGTTGGATGACGGGCATGTTGCAACTGTCCCTTTGGCGTCCTGTCCATTGCTACAGCTGAGACAGTGAGACAGGCGACAGTTTTCATGTAAAATCATGTACGGGGGGAGAACGGTTGACCATGTTGATAGCCGCGCCTCATTGGCCCAGCCCTATCAGGTAAATACGCTACGGCCGCGAACGGAACCCCAAACTTATTCTCCGAGCTACCACCTCACTCTCACCGAGTGAATGCCAAGTGTATGTTCACTACCTAGGTGAGAGGAAGAGTATGCCTTCTGCCATAGCTTGTTGCCGTTCTTTTGCTTTACTATGACTTGAAGGAAGAGGACAAGTATATGACCTCCTAAGCTATCTATACGCTACAACATCTCACTCTTGAGTTTCCACAACTAAGCATCGCAGACAGCGGCTTTCAATCTACTAAAAAGAAAGACAAGCCTTGCGAATTTGTTTGCCACCCTGCGGTCAGGCCCATTCTCACACCTTGTTGATATACCGGCATTCTCTCTGCTGTCTCATGCACGCTACGGAGCCACTGCACATTCACTCTATCATGACACATTATAATCGTTCCTTTAGCACATCCTTTGGGCATCTCTACACCAATAGCTTTGTCATCTCTTAAGATCAATAGAACATCAGTCTATAAACACAGCACCTTGATAGGGATTCTTCACTCCACAATTCGACATGTACGTTATCCTGTCGTGAATCAAACACATGTCTGTCGTCTATGTTACCAATCTCACCACCCACTTGATGCATACACATAGCCTCTAGCATAGCTGAACCGATCATAACCAGCTACCTATCCATCCTCCCTCCGCTCCTTTACCACAACACATCATCCAACTATCCTCATCGCTTAGAGTAGTTTGTAGCATCAACATCATACTCCACATCCGTCCTGATGACGTACTTGGCGCCCTCCACCACCCCCGTCCCCTCATGCAACAACGCCCCATGCGCCTCACCGTGCGGGAACACAGCCACGCTGCCCATGATCGGCTTTACAGGGTATGCATTAATGACGCCTTCCTTGACACTTGGGATGAAGAACGTTGTCTCGCCGCCGCGGAAGTCGTCGTTGAGGTAGATGAGGAAGGTGAAGAGGGACGATTGGCGTGCGTCAGGAGGGGAAGAGTCGTATTGGTAGGTATCGGTTGCTGGGTCGATGCCTGAGGGGGGCCATGCGCCGTCTGTGTGCGTTAGCATGAATATGAAATGTAGAAAGGGATAGGCAGAGGACTCACCAATATGACAGCGGTACTCGGCGCCAGGGACGTAGCGATACACGCGGAAACGTCTGTTGATACCTCGAACCTTCTTCCCAGCAACCGATTCCGGCACGAATGCTCTTACTCTTTCCCAGAGCTTATCGTGAAAGGATTGGTCGACGACCCAGTAGAAGTTGTGTGCAAGGACACTGGTATCTTCACCTTGTGGCCGCAACGGTGCGTCAGGAATGAACTCAATTGTTTCGCCTGCGGCAATGATGGAAGAGCATTCTTCGGGCGATAGTACGTCTCTGATTAATCGGAGGTCTGGAACGATTGGATGCTTGAAACATTCTGTTTTTTGTCCTTCACCGAGCAGCACGGCATCGTCTTGCGAAGCATATAAAATCGCCGGGTAAAGGTTCGGCGGCTTGCGCTGTAAAGCGGGCGTTGTCTCAATGATCCTGAAGCGGTCCTTGAGATCTGTTGGACATGACGCAAAGATGCTCTTATTCTCGATACTTTTCCTTAGTTGGCGAGTCGGTTCACTCTTCCCTCTTAGATCCCACGTCTTCTGGAGCGCAATCGGCCCCGACACAGAGTCTATCCCATGTGAAGTAGCGTCGGTCGGCCCAGTTACACGAAGAATAGCATCCAGCACTTGGATTAAATTATCGTTGTGAGCGTTACGACCAACCACGGTCTGGCTGGGGACTTGGACGTGAATC